TAGTAGTATCTATCTAGCCAAATTGTCTCGCTCCGCCGTTTACATTCAAGATAGGACGTTATCAGCCCGTTCGTTTTGCTGTGGCTTATCGTAAACGATCGTAAATTTTCAGCTGGAACAGTATTTTTCTCTCACACAAACCAGCCAGCAGTACTTCTTCACGAACCAGCAACGAAACGAACCAGCCAACCGAACAGGCTATATATTGTATATTGTTCTTCATAAACAGGCTCAAGCGAAAAGAGAGCTATGCCATGAGTGGTGTGACCAACCGTGATACAAATTGACTTGGGCGGCTAGAGCATGACAATATGCATGAGTGATGTGATGTCGATGAAGTTTTTGTGGTTCTAAACTGAAAAGTAAAATAGGTAAGAATGAGCGACGACAGATGCGGAAACGACGTGTAAATGGAGACGGGACATGTACTACTACCGTGGTACACTAGTCCATGCGGTGTCATGCACCTTACGATGTGTTTTGGACCGCAGCGTGACCACTGCGTGGTATGATATCGTGACCATGGCCTCCACCCCGTGGCACCAAAAGCACGAGACGTTCGCAGATCTGATATAGGACGCAGTTAACGCGCGACAGGTCACGCAAAGGGCGAGCGTGCGATCCCGGCGCCGCCGCCACCCACCGCCCTATCGTGCCTGCGGCCCTCCTTCTTCCCCCCTCCCCCCGCCGCCGTCATGGCCACGGTTGCCCCCGCCCTAACCCCCATCCCTGTTCAACCGCCTCCGCCTCGCCATCGTCTCTCCCGTCTAACCACCAGACCAGTCTGCCTCTCCCGAGCACCTTCTAAGCCTGCATACCGCAGGAGATGGAGAAGAAGAGAGAAAGAGCTTGGGATTCGGGGAGTTGTCAAAAGGTCCGTTGCGTGCAATGCGAGCATCGTCCGTTGCGTGCGGTGCGGACCGCGATGCTGGTCGTTCACCACAAACCTGCAGTGTGCAGTTGCAGGTGAACGAACCGGCCTTGGCTCCTCCTGCTGCTGTTCGCATGTGGGTTGGGCCGGCATGCAGTTCACAGACTCTGTCTGCTTCAGGCTTCGGTAAGCAGAGCGTATCAGAATGGATCGCGCCCATCATGGCATGTTTCCTCGTCTGCTCCGGTCCCGTGAACCGTCAGACTGTATGGCCGGGTTCGTATCGTTGCTGGTTCATTTATGTGAGAGAAAAGTATTGCTGATTAGTTTAGATAAATAGTGTTTTTGTGAGGAGGCTGGCCAGCCCAGCCCCAGCCAGCCATTTCCTTGTTTTGATTGATTGCCTACTGTGGTTTTCTTAATGGATCCAACAGCTTGAGAGTTGATTGAGAAAGCGCCTTTCTGTGTTGTACTTGTACACGGCGTACAAGGTACGGAGTACAACAGTGGTTCGGGTTGTAAACTTTTTACAGTCGTAAAAGGAGTTCCGCTATACGCACTGTGATACTGTGCATTGTTGTGGTCAAAGCTAAAACATTGTTTTTTTTGGAATTAAAAAGGCTATATAGATATCGTATCAGCTTCCAGTTGTGATTGTGGTCGCCAAAAAAAAAAGTGATTTCTGAAACCAACGGACGACAGCAAACATATAGATATACCAGTATATACTAGTTCAAATTCGTAAGTTCTACTCAGATATATACTTCTCTATGCCTAAAAAAGCTATGGAGTAATCATTTACCTGGTGATAAAAAAATGTATACTATCCGGTCACAAAGACTACTAAAAAAATTATATCAAATACTATACTATCCGACCAAATACGTACACTATCTGGCCACCGTTCCTTCACACCACAAATCCAAAGTTGTACCAAATATGTATACTGTCCGGCCAAATACGTACACTATCCGTTCGCGCCGAGTCTGAAATCCAAAATCACGCTCAGTTCTACAGAGTCCACGTGTGAGCCAATTCCGCATAGTTCACGACCTCGCATTGGAAACGGTCAGCACTTAGCAGCCTCGGTCGGCAACCTCACATTATTTATAATTCCAAAGACACGTACGGGTGTACGGGATCATCACAACATCTTACTACAGAAAATTGCTTTTTAAAACGTTCATACTATTTTTTAAAATAAATACAACATACGCTCATGCTTAAATTACCATATTATTGTTAGGTTTCTATGTAACGGACGAGCATTTATCTAGTGTAATAAAAAATACAAAAAAGGGACAGAGAATCTCAAGCCGGGAACAAATACAACAAACTAGAAAACAAACTGAAGCAGCACAACAACGATAATGAGAGTTTCCGAAATTTTCGACTATTTTTTCTTGTTGACAGTTTTTTGAGAGAGAGAAAAAAGGCAAGTACAAAGATGCATCCGTCTTCACTGAACCGTCGCGCCTCCATCAACAAGATGGCCCCAAAAAAAACTACTCTAATCCAGTAATCCTATCGGTTTCAGGACCATCACGAAAAGTTGACGCAGACGCTGCCATTCTTGGCGCACCCGCACGCCGGGCACGCCCTGGCCGCGCCCGCGCACGGCGCGCACGCGCACAGGTGGCGGCACGGCAGGAGCAGCACCTCGGCCGCGCCCTCGCCGCACACCGCGCACGTCCTCCTGTGGCCCGGCGGCGACGACGTCCCGGCCTCCTCGTCGTCCTCCGGGCCCGCCCCACCTGCTCCGGCTCCGGCGACGACGTCGTTCTCCCCGCAGCAGCACGACTCGGCGTCGTCGGCGCCGCCGGTGCCGGTGCCAGCGCCAGTGGCGCCGCCGCACAAGCGCGCCTGCTGGGCGTCGAGCGCCTGCTGCAGCTCGCCGCGGAGCGCGTTGGCGGCGGCCTCGTTGGACTGCGCCAGGTCGCGCCACACCTGCGCCTCCACGTAGAGGCTCTTCACGCGCTCCTCGAGAGCCCAGTTGAGGCGCCCCATCCGCTGGATCTCCTCCTCCTTGGCGCGCATCCGCTTCGCCGCCGCGGCCTCCACGGTGGCCACGACCTGCCGCGTGCCGCCGCCTCTGCTCCGCGAGCTCCGCCCACATCTTCGCGGTCTGCAGTTATTCAAAAGCCGCAAAACACGTCAGCTCTATCAGCTCCACCAATCACCCACCGTACTGGTTGATGACGGCTTAAACGCCGGCATGCGGCTTATAAAAGTAAACTTACGTGTTGGAGGACGAGGCGGTCGACGTCGACGAGTTGCTGATGAAAGTGCGCCGCCACGTCGGCCTCGCCGATCTCGAGAACCGGCGGCGTCTGCCCCTGCTGGACGACGCGCTTCCGCTTCCTGGGCGCCATCGCCATCGCCACCACCTCCTGCGGCTGCTGCGCCGCGCCTCCTCCGAACGTGACGCCGCTCTCCGCCGCGTCGCCCACGAACATCTGCCCACCAGCAGCGTACTGCGCTACCGGCGCGGCCGACGAGACCGGAGCCGCCGGCAGGCCCACGCCCACGCACGAGGCCTGGGCCTGCGGGAACTGGAACGACGCCTGTTGATGATGGCTCGGCCTCGCCGTCGCGCATCTAGCTTCGTCGCCCGTCGTCCAAGGCCATCCCGCCGCCGCCGCGTTGGTGAATTGCTTCTGCCCTTGTTGCGCTAAGAGGAGGCGGTGCGCTTCCACGGCCATGTATATCTGCCGATCGTGGCACGGGCCGGCGACGCCTCTATATCTTGTCCTCAGCCTCCTCCGAGAACATGCGTCCGCGTCTTATATAAGAGAAGACGAGCACAAGCAGAGCATGGAGGGGGGCCCGGCGCCCAAGGTGGTGGTGGTCTGGTGGATGTGCCTGGTGGAGATGGCGACGCGGGTGGCGCTGGCGGTGCGAACGTCACAGAGCAGCCTGCCTTGGGAGGAGGGAGAGGCTAGGCCGCAACAAAGGAGCCGAGAGCGCGTATTTATGGCGCTAGCTGCTAGCGCTGTTGGGTTGGCCGTGGTCAGTGAGAATACAAGTCGAGACGAAAATAAAAACGAAAAAGGCAAATAATCCGAGGCCTTTCAAAAGATTTTTTTTACTTAGCAGGCAATTAATTACTTTACTTATTACTCGTGAAAATAAACCTGGCGGCTTGTTTGGAGTAGAAACCAAGAATCGTTGCACGATTTCTGTGGGCTGCTGCTTATTTCCGCTAGGATTTATTATTTATCTATTATATATACTAGGTTTGTGTCCGTACGTTGCTACGGAACTGCTAAACTTTTATATTAAAAACACACGGATCGCACGATAAGATAACAATACTGTGAAATTAAATACCGACGTTAAAGTGATATTTAATCAAAAAGACACAGTTCGTGAAATTAACAGTCACAGAGAGCGTGGCGTCGTAGGCTCACAAACTCTATTGTGCGGATTGCTAACGCTACAGCAACATTCGAGTGTGCAAATTAGAACCATCGAAAGATATCATAAACTGGTACTCTCTAATTACATTCCAATATTTTCCTTCATGAATTATTACATTGCAACTCCACTGATTACTATATTCTTGAAACACAAAAACGATGGCAACCACCATATACACCTCTAGCCATCATCACCTCCTGGAGCCTCCATTTTGCATGTCCTGAGCTAAACCGCAACGTCCTGTCAGTTCCACCTCGACCACTCAGGGTCAATGCTCATTAAACTATAAATCTAACATCTTTGGAGTGCAAAGCATAAAATAATTAAAGCCAACCATTGCACACAGACTACCAAATGAAGAGCCAGAGATGATAACAGAAAGCAAAGACAAATGCTATATCCATACTGCCCAGTTGGCAGTTGTGATACAAAATAACAACCTAACTATAGCAGCAGCAAGGGAAGACTGAACAGTAGGCCACAGTTCTCAATAAAAGCAATGTATTTTTGTACTTTTTAAGGATTTTACAGCTTAATTTCTCTACAAATACGAAATCATAAAGACAATTGTGCATTCAGTTAAGTAGTCCAGAGATCGGCATGTTGTATTTCTATACCCAAAGAAAACAGTACAAGCAAAACTCTACTTCATTCTCTTCTGACTTCTGTATTAGTAGCAGCAAGTTCGTTCCTTAGAAGATCTACGGTTTCATATAACCAACGAGTTATTTCTCAGGATGTTCATGAACTGAAGAGCCTTGATTTTAAAGATGGATAGGAGGATCTCACCCGGCTTATTTCGATGAGCCGATGGAGCAATGACCTCATCAAATGCACACCTCATGGCGTAGTCACCTGTGCCACCGGGTAGAGGAAGGTTGAGTGTCATGCCTTCACCATCACCCTGTCCGACTTCATTGATCTTACCAGTACCTGGGTAGCTTCCAAGCTACATCACACATGGAAAACAAATACTCTTTCATGGTAAAGTTCAGCACATAGTTGCACAAAGAGATGTCACAGACACAGAAAACAGGGGTACAAAACCTGGTGAGTTGAGAGGAAGAATATGTCTGGATCATCATAAAATGCATCGGATGTCCCATTGCCATGGTGAACGTCAAAATCTGTTATCATCACACGCTTTAGTCCATGTTGATGCTGAGCGTACGGAGCTACCACTGTGATGTTCCCAAAGATACGAAAACCCAATGGACCTTGAGGAACATCATGATGTCCTGGTGGCCTTACTAAAGCAAAGGCAAGGGGCGGATTATGACCTAACTACTTAAGAAAACATGCAATGTTTCTTGGGGAAACAACACTACAAAGTAAAATAAAAAACATGCTGAAACCACCAATATAGTCAACAGAGAGAAGATTAGTTACCACTGAATCAACCAATTTGATTCCGGCACCAGCTGATAGAAGTGATTCTTGGAAAGTCTATACAGAAAATAATAGAATGACTTAAAATGGTGATATCTAAAATTTTGCAGATTCCAGTAGTATGCACATCAATAGGTGAAGTAGACTATGGAACAATCAATGAGTATATAGCAACTTAAAATTATATCGCAGAAAATTTGAGTGATAAAATCAACAATGTCTTATATACTTTAATAGCTTTCTTAAAAGAATTTGGGTGGTGCCTTAGTGCCAGTTCAGACTTCGTTAAAGTGTTCTTCAGTGTTAAATTTATTGATCAGAATTTTTGTAGATATCAGTAACATCAAAATCATAAGGCGTCTGAATGAATCACCAGTTCGTACTTCTCATGATAACCGCTAAATAAGAAATAACTCATATATAATGCTATTAGTTGTAAGCATATCGAGTAATACTCTGTCTATTTCCAAGTTCCAACCAAATTAATACTAGCATGGCATAGGAGAGCATATGCACAATTAACATCAGAAGCATGTAAAAACGAAAAGGGCACATACATAAAGCATTACAGCCTCTGTAGCGTATGTTGGTCCAGTCCCTTCAATAAATATCAGACCTTCATCTGAAGCTCTACCCATAGCCTGTAGCCACATGCTACCACATATTAAGGAAATTGCAGCATTATTTCAAACCTATCTAATAGGTTTTCACCAGTAGAGAAAAGCAACTTCTTATCAAAAAAAGTAAGAATAAATAAGGACAGCATCATGACCAGTACCTTTTCGAGTCCAGTGATGTAAGATCTTGAATGAACATGTGCAACATCATCTAGAGAAGTAGGGTTGAAATTTTGAATTTCAAGAACCTGTGAACCATGATGCTGAAAACTAAACAAATGAGATGACATTTAACTTATGAGTACTCGTCCTTTTCTAGTGAAATGCAATTGTACACGGTATAAGAAAGAAACATGCCAAAGCCCCAGAAGGTTTGACTAAAGGCAGAAGGAACTATTGAAACATAGTGAGATAAGACAATGTCCTCAAGTTGATTGCACATCCTATTTCTTTTTATATGATTCAATTTTAGCATGGTTTCAAATAAAGGTAAAATGAAAAAGGTGTTTTTTTAAGATCAAGTTCCAAAAAATAGTTGTGAATATTCGAAGTAGTATTGTCGGTATACCTTGGGACTAAGCTCCAATTTCTCAAGAGCATCAACTATCATAAGAACTCTTTTGTTAGATTACGGATGTGCTTCACGAATACCAAAAGAAGTGGAAAATATTATGATATAATGCACAAAGGTGAGATGAGACAACTTATTACAACGTGATTTATATAGTTCTATGTATCATTTTTTTCAAGAAATTTGTTGCATAGAAAGGTAAAGCATGGTTGTTAATTAACACCAACCATTTACATACATGGTCTAGAACTATTGTATATTGTTGAAACTTCGAGTATTTAAGTTTTTAATCTTTTTTTCAACAACTCAAGATTTACATAGATGGTCTAGAACTCGGCCAGAAAGCACATGCTAACCTTTTTTGTTCCTTTTGCATAGATCAATAGTGATATCCAAAACAAACACTCGCAGCACGGAGAAAAAGAAAAAGCCCTGGCCATTATGCTGCGGGCATCTTACCAAATGTTGAACCAGCAACAAAAGAACAATACTACGCTCATCAACTTGATAAGAGAAAGCCCAAGCCCCTAAAGAGAAACCCTACTAATTCCCGACAGAACGATCATAAGAAAAATGATTCTTGCATAATCCACATAGGTCTAGGCAATAAGTAAAATGAATGCACCAACCACGAATTTAAGAACAAGATATGCAAGAACTTCATAATGATGGGAAGAAACCCTGCGCGTACCATTCGTCCAGGTCCAACTCCAACATCTGCATCCTCCTTACGATGCCATTGCTGCCGCTCCACCTTCCTCAACCCAACTAATGACCTGAGCCACTTCGTCGAGATGCCCATCGCGCCGCCACTCCAACCGCCTCAACTACAGTAACCTAAAGACGCAAATTTTTCGGTTTCTGTTGGCACCAGCACAAACTGCAGCACAATGTCACACGACAGAGGGGGAAAAGGAGTGCTCACATTACTTATTCAGTCCAAATTTAGCCAAGAACTCTACCTACAGATCAGGGGATGCTAGGGCCACATGAGGTGCCAAATTTTCAGCATCAGTTGTATCACATGAAACTAACAGCTTCCTTCGTCCTATAGAATGCTTGTTGGAAGTGACGCCAACTGCGCTTGGTAACAACATAATTGTATTAATCAGGTCCAGTTAATGCTCCCATCCTAATAGTAAAAAATCAACTTAGCAATAGAACATTCAGAAATAACATTTGAGCATAAAAGCATATATTTGCAAGCAGAGAGGCAACAGAAACACCTCCAACAATTAAATGATGGGTAAAAACCAACCCTTTTTCCAAATCAGTGTCAAAATAATTAGAGGGCTAATAAGTATTGAGATGCTAGTAATGCAGAAAGTACTCACGGCTTAGCAATCTCTGTAGAAAATTCGAACCTAGGATCAAAGCCTTGAACAATACAATCTCGAACTGCATAAAAGGGAGAAAGCATGAGTAAACTGACAGCATAATAACAATTTCCTTATAATAAACATGTAAACTATTAGACAATGAAACTTGAGAATGCTCTGACCACAAATGATTGGTCAACCACGATCGCCAAAAGACCGTCTCCTGCAAAATTTAATTCGAGTCAACATAATAAAATTGATAGAATAAACCATGAACTTCTTCTTTTCAAATTGGTAGGTCACACAACATTACCGATTGCAGCAAGTTTCTGCTTCTTCTTTTCAAACTTCTCCAGTAGGAAAAAGGATGCCCATTTTAACCATAGCTTTAAGCACCTGCAGGAATACAAGATTCAACGCTTCCTAGAAGGTCGCAGGGTATAGATTATCATCGGCTGGCTCAGGGAAAGGAGAAGGAAGAACTTGCAGGTGTTGGCAAGGAGTACAGAGATCCGATGAGGGCGCCAATGCGCGGCATGGGATGGGCCGGCGAGCGTGGCTCCGCACAACCTGACGAGGGTCCCCGCTGCAAGGCCTAGGCCGAGGCGACGAGCAGGACTCCCGAACCCTAATTTGCTCATCAAAACTTTTTCCCCAAATTTGGAACCCTAAATCCCGAACTGAGGCATAATTTCGCGATTAGTACTTGCTCTGGCATCAGTGATGCTGCGCCGCCGCTGCCAGGAGGCTCCCCTCCCGCGCACGCATCAGCGCGCCCTCAACATTGTCTTGTGCACGTGGCCGTTGCGAGACCAACGCCCGACCGGATGCGATCTCCTCGGAGACCGAGGCCTTGGATGACTGCGGCACCGAATGCGCCTCCTGCTGCTACGGATGGCCGGCGGCCAGAGCCCTGGCGGCCTCACGTCCTGGCGCACGTCGCGGGAGAGGAGTCGCGCATGCGGGGGAGAGACGGAGTCGCGCGAGGGTGGACAGGGATCGCATGGGTGGGTAATTGACGGCGCGCGTCGGGTGCGGGGGTGGGGAGGAGCGAGGAAGCCATGGGATAGCACCCGGGGATGCATGGGAGCGAGCGGTTTTAGTGTCGCACCTGTGAACGGAATAGTTATGAATGTTTTAGTTGTAGAGATAGAGTATTTTGTATATACGTTGCATGCGACAGGAAGTGATAGAGCGGAGATATGGTAACGTACGTGTGGCCAGCCAGCTTTTGTTACGGCAGGCAGGTAAGGTGTGATGGTGGTGGACACGTCACGTACGAATCTCTTGGGACCGTTCAGATGGGAAAGCGTTCAGTAACAATTGATGTGCGAGCAAGCAGGCCACCTTTCCGATGGATTGACAACTAGGAGATCAACTGTACGGGAGGTGCTATCCTCCTCGGATTGTCACATTGCATTGGTTGTCTATCTACAAGAAACTACCATAGGTGACTTGCTCGTCCTTCGATTCAAGTGGCCACAATCTCAGGAACTTCTCTTTCCTCTCATCCAGTGGTATCTATACATAGCGTATAGTATACAGTATATCTAGATGTATATAATAAGAATTGCGTACATAGAAAAACCAAAGTAACTTATACTTTGTAGGTAACCGATGACTATTTTGGAATGCCGATTTTGTGGATCTGCAACAAATTAGTGTGTGAAATCGCTCCATTACAACAATTGCGAGGACTCTCGTATTAATCATGTACTAAATCAATCTATCATCCTATTAATCATACTAAATCAATCTATCATCTATTGACCACACTCGATTTAATACAACTAATCATGTTGTTCCTGTAATCGCATCGGTGCTATCCACTACTCAAAGTAATATGCAATATGCATTTAATTTTGAGACTATAGTTAGGTCAACACGCATCAAAACATTTGTGTGTAATGTAAAAATGTTCGTCTATCAAGTTACAAGCTAGTCATAGCACGGTGTGTAAGCCGTAGCATGAACAAGAGTGTCATGGTGAAACTCGATCTTCCACAAGTCTTTTCTTCGTAAGCCTGCTCAGAGGTTATAGGTCAAGAACTTGCTAATAACCGAGAGTGCGGTATCCCGAAGTGATCACTAACTCTACAAATATGCACAATTTTTAGGACGGAGCCATACGACTCGTCGCGTAAGGGGTAACTCGTCACCTCAACTTCTTTCGCACATGGCTAAATTGACCGATGAACGGTCGAGATGTGTAGTAGTAGCTACTCCTCGACGTCTCTAATCATATATATCGAATTCATAGGGTTACATGGCTATACATGATATATACTTGGCTTACCATGTCATCTTTATTTTTTCAAAGGTGTATATATATTCCGTATAAGCGTGTTTGGTACAGTGCAAACAACCTGGGTGCGGAAACGTACGGTGGGTGGATACTGTTCTGACGATGAAATGAAATGGTATGTGTTCTAAAACATGTTGCCAGCGGTTAAAGCCTTTCCCTCTATATCTCTCATGATCAACATAATAGATAAAAGTAGAACACATCGACATAAGAGATAGGGAGACTATTCTTTATTTCTCTGAATATTGGTGATTACAATATACAGCTCACACATATATATAGTCCTGCCAAGACCTAAGAGTTTGGTAAGAGCCCATATACAAACAGACTAGGATTATGATTTCACCTTTTCCTTTCCTTCTAAGATATAGTCCATATATTTTACAACACTCCTCCTTGGGTGATTACCACGATATGCTCATGCCTCATTAAAAACTACATCCAAAAATCCAGTGGAAAAAATGGTTCTTGGAGAAAAGAGCACATCACATTCGTTAATTGCATTGCACATGTTGTCTCATTAAAAACCTTGTGTGAGAAATCTTCAAGTAAAAACTCACATAGGAAAAAAGAGTACAACATTTAACCTTCTTGTCATGTATTCTTCAGGATATTCTATTCTTCATGAATAGATACTTATCTTCATGATCTATGCATAAACTTCAATATTTTAGCAAATATGATCTACTTCATCTTTGTAATTCTAGTGGTTTTAATTATATTCAAGGTAGATTCACTCAAATTGCTCCCTCTCTTAAAGTCATCCTTTAAACTTCGTTGTTCAGACCACACATTTCATAAATGTGTGCTTAATAATGGTATGCAGTATCATAATACTATATCTTTCAAAATGTTGGCTTATCATTCTTCAATGAATTATAATATGAGTAAACAAGAGCAATATTCTTCATGCATAGATGACCACTTATTAGTTGTGCAAAACAAATAAAATTTATCCTTTAGGGTAATAAATCATTTCAGAGGACTGTGAGGGTAAATAAGTTACATTTAATATCTTCTAGATAGTGTATCAAACTTATACTAGAGTTTGAATACTTATAATTCTTTCTTAGTGGTTTTTTCAATTATATGTTCTACAAATCTTTAGGATTTTGATTGTACCACTAAATAATAAATCCAGTCTTGCATTTAGCATTTAGGGGATAATTCAATTACCAAAGTCACCATTATTCTTATACCTTATATGGTATTTTAGAGGATATCAACAATTTGTTGCTAGCTTTACAATATACACTTTCTGAGTGTTTGTATGACACCTTCATGGTATTTAGCATTTCTTATTTTCTTTCTCTCGGGTCTACATCCACTTCAGGGATTAATGGTTTTTTTTCAAGAATTGATTGATAAATCCTTCATGGATTAAATCCTTTAAGGATGTTCTCATTCTTAGTGAATAACATTTCTCTTCTATGCTTACAAAGTCACTCGATGACTATTCCTTCTAGGACATTCTCTTCTTGAGACTTTAATATTCATTCAGAAATATATTATACCTTAGACTTCGTAATACTTAGTATGAGATTTAATTTCCATATGTTGCGATTTATATTCTTCAGGAACTATATGGATCATCGTAATCCACTTATTAACTGCATATTTCATATTCATTTATTTCATTTGGCAGAGATATAGCAGAACATCTATTTCTTCTTAGTAGGAGATTCAACCTCAATTGCTTTCTTCATTGACCCAATATAATCGCTACAGGCGACTTTGCCATGGACTTTGTTTTTCGGATCTGTGTTCTCATAAGAGAAACATTTGTAATTATAGAGGTAGCGTTGTCGACAACTATTATTTTCTCCAAACACTCTCACAATGTTAGATTATTCCATCTCTTTGTCATTTCCCAAACAAGAGATAATTTATTGTTCTGCGTACCCCACACTATGATGCGCGCGCTTAGTGTGTTGGATTTCATCTTCATGATGATCCTCTTTATGAAGTGCTTAACCTTATTCACGAAGTGTTCTCTTCATGAGAATGGAGGATTTTTATTTTATTTCTATTGAACAAGTATACACTAAACTAGAATCCACAGGCGTCTCCATAGATTTTAGCTTCATAGTATACAACATTTAGTTTACTACTAGTAAACACAACTTCTGATTTATAACTTTAAGTTACTCCTCTCATTTTCAAAAATATCTGGCATAT